GTGTGTGTGTGTGTGTGTGTGTGTGTGTGTGTGTGTGTGTGTGTGTGCGCGCGCGCGGTGGCACCTTTAAAGTTTTACAGCAACATCTGGACCGTTGGGGGGAACAGACTAATGTTTTTAGATCAACGTCCTCAAAAGAAAAATAATAACTAAAGGCATTAACTGTTTAAAATAAGATTTTTTTTGTTCACAAACCCTCAAACGGAAACAGAAATTATAATTTGGTCAAAGCTGATGTTTAAACGTAACTCACATGGAGTTAGTTTTTAAAACTAACAAAACTAAAAGTTTCTGTTGTGTTTGGAAACTGATCAGTTTATCAGTTTTAAATCCAACGTTGTGTTTCTAAACTACAGTTGAAGCAGTCGCTGCAGGCCAGATTATTATAATTCTTTGAGTTTTTTATTGTGTCACTCATTCCAGCAGCCGAAGGCCAAACAAAAACCAGAGCGTGATCACGACGAGGAGAAAGTCTGGCTACTTTGAAGGACAACGAAGAAATGAGGACCGGATCAGGACTTTTGCACGCTCCTATCCCTCCTGGTTTCAGTTTCTGATCCAGATCAAAGAACGAGAATGTTTGAACCCGGGTCTTCTGGATCAGCAGATCATCATTATTTCAGTTGTTGGACTCGGCGTGAAGCTTCAGGCGCTCGGAGCCTCTGCGAGGCCCGGCCACCAACAGAACCGCAGCGCCGTCATTACGGACGAGGACGGAGGGACGGAGGGACGGAGGGGGCGGTCCGAAGCCGGTCCAGTCGGTCGCACGGTCAGTCTGATGAGCACAACAAACAACGCGGCTCCACGAGGCAGCCGTGACCTCATGACCCGCTGCTCGGTCGCCACAGAACCGCCACAGAACCTCAACAACAGAAAACAAACTAATGATCCGAGGAGGAAAACTCAAATAGAACCGTCCCGTCAGATCTTCGCCTCACACCACATTATTTTACACGCTGAGGTCGTCGAGGTCGGTGTTCTGCAGGTTTCATCTAAGTGTTTGTCAAACACTTAGTTTTTCTGACTGATTTTAAGCTGAGGGTCAGTCATAAGCCCCGCCTCCTCAGCTCAAACATGACGAGGTGTA